AACTGAGATGAATGGGGAATGACTGGGGAGTTTTTCCCAGCAGCCTGGCTCGAGCAGGACTAATGCCAGAACTGAAGGCACCCAAGCGCCGCCAGGCCCGCCGTGTCATGAAACAGGTCCTTCCGTAGCCGGAAAGTCTGAGGTGTGCCCTCCCGCCCCAGCAGGGGTTTCATCGCTTGGGCTAAGGGTGTGGCGGCCGCGGGGGCATCGACCGAGAGCACCGCTTGAACCTGCATTTGGAGTCGGCCCTCCCAAGGCACAGGGAGAAACCCTCTGAGTTTCAGCGTGGACTGGGAGACTGTCTTGCCCTAGAAGGCCTGGAATGTTCCCTCTGGGGCGCCCCACAGCACAGTCCCTGTGATGTTCCACAGCAGACTCGGGCATGTGGACTGAGCCGACGCACAGATTCCCCGCATCCAGGGAGGAAAATCCCCGTTTCCCCCCAGTTCCTGCTAAAGTCCTGGGTTCAACTCTGGCTGGGCCAGCTTGGGTCACGTGCCCACCCCAAACCTCTCCTAGCACCACAGAGATGTGATTGATTGTCCTGGTCTCCATCCCAGGCTCTCCGGAGACGGCTGGTGGGGTCAGCACCCTGTGAGCTGCCTAGTCCCTGGGCTAAGAATAGAGTAGGTGGTGGTCTCCCCAGAGGTGCTGAGCTCTTGGGAATGAAGGGGGCTGGGTTTGAGCCCTGTCTTGGGCAGGATTCCCCAGGAACAGACCCCAAGATAAGGATTTTATGCTAGTACTTTATCTAAGAAGGGCTCCCAGGCAAAGTCTGTAAGGGTCGGGGAAAGCAGGACATGAAGAGGGAGGAATCAGATTCCGGCAAGGTCCTTCCCGCTGAGCCACCTTCGGCCTGACCCACATGGGAACTTGGGAGTTTAAGTTAAACATCAGGACGGCCCCGCCCGAGACTAGGGAGCGGGCCCATCAGCTCAGAGCTGCCCTGGAGGAATGTACACTCCTAGGCTCCTGTCCCCTTCCTCAAGGGTGAGCAGTCCTGGGAAGAAGAGGCCAAGGCACCACCACGGGGAGCCAAAGCACGCGGAGACATACAGGGGCGGGGCGCGGAGGGGTGCGGGCGGAGTCCTGACAGTTTCCCAGAACCCCAGAGCCCGGGGCCTGCTTCTCCTCACCGAGTCCCTGTCCTCGGTTTGCCAGTCCAGAGGGCAGCGTTCTGCCTTTGCTTAGAGCGAGGACCCTGGCTCTGAAGTCCCCAGAGGAAACCGGGGAAAGGGACTGGTGCTGAAGTGTGGCTGTGACCACTTACCAAAGACCCCCTGGGTTGCAGAGCCAGTGAGCTCTCTGCAGAGTGGCCGCGTGATTTCCTAAGTGATCCGCTGTGCAGATGGTCTCGGACTCACCAACTGCAGAGCAGAGACGCGCAACTGAAACAGATGCGCCAGAGGGAGCGTGGCTCCCTCCCCTTCGTCTGTGAACTCGGGAGAGGGCTCCCTGCTGGCGGGAGCAGCGCCCCTTACAGACCAGCAGCTGTGAGCCTTGCACGCCCTGGCGGTTCATCCTCAGGACATCCCGCCTGGGGAGGGGGCGCGGGAGTGATGTGGCGGAACCATTGCATTTCTGCCCCGAGCCTGTGGGCTCTGCCGCAGTGGGATCGCGGGAGGCCGAGTTTTCCCTTGGCTAGGCTCCCGTGATAGCTAATGGGCTCTTTCCAGTGCCTGCCCTAATTGTTTCTACAACAAACTGTTCTCCCATCTCCAACTGTATGCAAGCCGTCGGTAGTCTCCCGCTGTGTTTGGAGGTGCAGACAGTGAAGTGCCTGACAATTCTCCAAACAGCCCTAGTTGGGCAGCCGCCTGGTGTCCCCCTCAGCCAGGCTCATCCTCACCTCCGGTCCTTGCATGGTTTCCCCAATCAGGAACCCCCGTCCCCTCCCCATCACCTTCACGGCCCCCGCTTGTCTTACAAGGACTTGTCAGTTGTTTCCAGAACCGTTCTTACCTCTGCCAACCTTCAGTCACCTCTTTTTCTTGAATGGACAGAAGAATCACAAAAATGAACGAGCAAACAATACATGAAGCACGAGTGGATGAGCTCACACCCAACCTTATGTTCCGTTCTCTGCGTTTCACTGTGTGCTGTCACCAGTCACTCCCCGTAATACCATAAGCTCACGGGAGGAGATATCTTTATCCTTTGTGGCTTGGGTCACAGCTCTGGGCCCCCCCCAGCCTCCGGAACAGTCTGTGCAGCGATCGATCAGTGATAACGTCACGGACATGGCACTGAGCTGGAGCTCAGGACCCCAGTCCCTCTCCCCTGCCCCTCTTTGGATGGACTTGGACCAGTTTTAGACTTTCTGGGCCTCAGTTTCCTGATCCGTGCGGTGCAGGGATTGGCCTGTGAGCGGGCCTGGGGTGCGAGTCCCGCTTCCGCTCCCCGCCACCTGGGTACCCGTGGGCAGGTAGCGTAATGTCCCCGCGGAACAGGAAGAACCCTTTCCGCCTCCTGAACTCTTTAAAGGCTTGCTGAAGGCTGAGGCGCCGGCCGTCGGGAGCTTAGCCAGCGCTCAGTCAGTCTCAGCTCCCGGCCGCATTCTGACATAGTAGGGCTATTCATTCAAGACGCCGTGTCGGAGGGAGCCTTGCGAGGTGGCAGAACAGTGTCTTTTCTGTTAAGATTCTTCATGCCGTGCAAATTTTTCTTTAAATGAAAGGCAAGGTCAACGAGCACAGGAAAAGATGCTCTATGTCACTAAACGTTAGGCACAAAGGAAAACCCCAGCGAGATACCACGTCACACTTACCGGATGGCCTTACAAAGGGAGGAAATGCTCACACAAGCCTTGAGGACGTTGTGCTAAGAGGAACGATCCAGTCATGAAAAGACAAGTATTCTGCGATCCCACTTAGATGAGGTCCTGAGAGAAGTCAGATTCGCAGACACAGGCGGTAGAGTCGAGGTTACCGGGGCTGGGGATGGGGGGGTGGGGACCTGCTGCTCCAGGGGCACAGAGTTCAGTTTGGGATGATGGAAAGATCTGGAGACGGTGGCGGCCATGGCAGAAACAGTGTGAATGCACTCAGTGCCTCTGAACGGCACCCTGGAAAGTGGTTAAAGTGGTAAATTATATTTTAACATAATAAATCGATTTGTAAAGAAATGTCAACAAGCCCCGCCTGTGTGGCTCAGTGGTTGAGCATCAACCCCCACACACACCAAGAGGTCTCCAGCATGATTCCCGGTCAGGGCACATGCCCGGGTTGTGGGATCGATCCCCTTGTGGGGAGTGCAGGGGGCAGTCGACCCATGTTGATGTCTCTCTCTCGATGTTTCTCTCTCCCTCTCCCTCTCCCTTCGTCTCTCTCTAAAATCAGTAAAGACAGATTAAAGAAAATGTATCTGTTCAGAAAAAGAAAAAAAAGAAATGTAAAACAATTGCCATAAACCTTTCTTGGGTGTGGTTTTGCCAGGTGAAGGAGGCCCAGTGCTCAGAGGCTCCCGGAGCTGAGGGGGAAGATCACCTGGCCCGCTGTGTTTTGTGCTGAAGCCATAGCAACGACCTCAGTCTGGCCCTTTGATGCCCATCCCACCAGAGGGGAGATTTCTTGGCACAAATGTGCAGTTCATGGAGTCAGGCTGACCCTCTCCATGGAAATCGCATTTATGTGAAGGTTTTAGTGCTCAATTTAGCCTCGCCCACAGGTGGCCTTGTACCGAAAGAAAAGTGATTTCTTTGATCAGGCCATCTGACCCCAAACACCCTCCTGTCCTTTCCATTTCACTTCAAATCCTGCTATACTGGCCAATGTGATTCCAACTCTTAGCAAAGAATGTTTTACATTTTAACCAACAATTCTGGGCCAACTTTAGATCTGTTTACCTGAAGAGCAAGAAAAAACCCGCCGGTGAGTTCTTTCTGAGACTGGCTGACCTAAGGCAGCAGGGAGGGAAGGGAGGGGGAATATTCATCAGTCGGGAATCTTCGGGGGGTGATGAGGACTGGAAACCCTTCCTTGCTTCCATGGAACTAGTGCTCCTTTGGGCCTTTAATCCTAAGGAACGGAACAGGAAGCAGCCAGACGTGGAGGGCCCTCCAAACCCTGCACGGGAGCCCATCGGATTTTCTTGTTTTTTCCCCCCAGCGTCACCGTGAATTAGCTCTAACTCCTGGGCTACTGGGAATGTGTCTTTACTGCCTCCATCACAGCCAGCCTTGTAGTTGCAAAGAGAGCCTTTTATTTGAGAAACGCTGTGGGGTTTATTACTGAGCCAGTGGAGAAAGCAATAGGGTCTGTGAGAGGAAGTAGTACAGGCGTTAGAACAGGTTCAGCAATGTAACTGCAAGGCAACGTTTCGGGGTAGTTTAGCTTCCTGCTGCATTTTAATGACCAACAGAGAAGATATAAAATGTCATTTATAGAGAAATGCCAACATTTTGTTGTCCTGGTTACTTATAAGAGATCAAATGGAGCATGCAATATGATTTTTTTTTTAATTTAATTTTTTTTAAAAAAAGGTTTTCACCAAACACTGGAATCAATCTTTTGTGCTGTAGACCCGTGTGGTTACGGCACGTCATGCACTCAAATACATGTGGATAGAAGTTAAATGGAAGAAACTCAGCTCTCTTCCCTCCTGACAACGAGGCAGGAAACCTTTACAAACTCCATCCTAGGAATTTGCCTGTTCTGTTTACTTTGACCAGTTTTTAACAGAAAGTTACTGTTTTTCAGGCACAGGGTAGTACTGATAAGGACACATGAGGGAGCCTTGGGGTTTCAGGAGGTGAGGGGCAGTTTTTTGACCCACTAGCTTCATCTGCCTCTGTTCACCACCTAGAACCAGCCCCAGGCCCCAGGCCCACCAAGTGAGGTCAGAAGGCATGGACCAGGCAAGGTCAGGAAGCAACCTCTGCTCAGCTCATTCTGGGTCAGAAGTGGGAAGGACACGGACCAGGGCTGCCTGCGGGGATGACAGCCCTCCTCCTGCAGGCTCATCAAACTCCTCCTCCTCCTCCTCTAAAATCTGCTGGGATCTTATAACCGGACTTTGTGTTCTGCTGCTAGTAACATCGCGAATGCAGAATCTGGCTTCTCAGCAAGGACTTCAGGCTTGTCAAACTCAACCACCTGAAAGCCAAAGAAGAAGAGCTGAAATTGTCAGAAAATATCCACCCACCTTAGAGCCCAAACCATTGAAGCCAGGTGATGCCAATAGCTTCCTGTACCTTCCCGTTTTCCATGACCAGGACGAGGTCGCAGTTGAGGACCGTGTTGAGGCGGTGGGCGATGGTCAGCACCGTGCAGCCTTTGAAAGCATCTTTGACAGTGCTCTGAACAAGGCTGTCAGTCTTGGAGTCCATGGAGGCAGTGGCTTCATCAAGGAGAATGATCTGTTGAGGAAGAAACATCGTAAAAATCACAGTAAGCCAAAGCTGTACCTAGAGGAAAATTTATAGTCTTAGCTTTATTTATTTATTTATTTATTTATTTATTTATTTATTTATGGAGAAGGGCTGAAAAGTAATGAGCTAGGTATTCATTTCAAAAAGTTAGAAAAAGAATGGCAAAATAAAAGTCTCATCACACCACCTTCGCCTTCTCCAGAGGGACTGGCTGGGGAGCAAGGTTTATCGTCTTTACTCCTCTTTTTAAGTGGTTTATTCTGATCCTGCAAACTGGTAGGAAGAAGTATCCAGGATTTTCTACCATGCTAACATGAGTCAGCATGCGGTATAATAACTTACATTAGCTTCCTGCTGCTGCTATAACAAATTCACACAAATTCAGAGGCTTAAAACAACACGGATTTATTATCTCACAGTTCTGGAAATTAAAAGTCCCAGAGTCAAGGTATTGTCAAGACTGCATTCCATTTGCAGGCTCTAGGGGAGAAACCAGTCCCTTGTCTGCCCAGCTTCTAGACGCTGCTTGCACTCTTTGGCCCATGGCCCCTTCCTGGCATCCCTCTAACTTCCACTTCCATTGTCAAATCTCCTCTTCCTACCTCTTCTGCTTCCCTCTTATAAAGACCTGGCTCACCCAGGTAATCCAGGATAATCTCACCTCACAGCCCTTGATGTAATCAAATTGGCAAAGCCCCTTTTCCCAGGTAAATAACACAGTCACAGGTTCTGGGTGTCAAGGCGTGGATGTCTGTAGGGGATGGGCAGGGGCATTATTCTGACCTCCCACAGTGCTGGTCTACCAGTCAGAGGGATGGGACTCAGTGCTCACGCTGCTTGATCCTGGCTAAATTACTTAACTTACCCCAGGCTCTGTTTGTTTCCTTGTTGGTAAAAGGGGGTTATACCTTATTAAGAGCATGAAATGCTAAAACAACACAAAACTGCTTGGCAGTCAGCACTGAGGGTGGGCTGCTCCTTTCCTGCCCTTCGGACATCTAGGGAACACACACGGGGGCTACACTTGGATCAGGGCTCAGAGAATGAGACGTCTAAAGCACCAGCAACCCCTTCTTTGAAACCATGAGCAAGGATGTCTAAGTCACTAAGAAAAATGAGCATAAATTTCACCATTCCTAGATCCTAGCATTCTTGACTGTCCTGGGTCCTATTTATCAGGCATCCAACCATTCAGGGACAAAGGGAAGAAGTTGAGAGGGAGATTTCTCAAACTCATACCACCCAGGAAGATAGAATACCAAAGCAGACCCCCCAGGGAGAGAGTGGAGAGAGGCAGGTGCTGTTGTGTAAATGGCTGTTATTATTCAATTTTTACCTCTCACAACTTTGTCTTAAGAAAAAAGAATCTGTTTTTAAATGGCAACTGCTCTCTCTTTGCCAAAAGACAAAGCCGGGATCCCCCTCCCTCCCCCAGTGGATGGGATGGAGTGGCGCTGCGGGAAATCAGCAGAGCCCTACCAATGGTTTCCCTGCTGTTTCCTTACTTTGGAGTTGCGGAGCAGCGCCCGGGCCATGCAGAGCAGCTGCCGTTCCCCGACTGAGAAGTTCTCTCCATTTTCTGTGACTTCTGCCTGCAATTTTTCCGGGAGTCTCATTATCTATAAAGCACAGAGAATGCCCCGTTTATGCTGAGGATCTATAAAATTGTCCTGTGTCATCTGTATTGATTCCCCCCTCCTCTTGTATTCCTCGGCTGCCTTTATTTTACTGAGCAAAAGAAAGTGAAAATAACAATCATTTCAACATTGCAAACTGGCACCAGGGAAAGAAGGGGAGTAGGTGGACACTGATAATTTAAATCACAGTGTGATTTTACCCCATCGATGCCTCTCCAAAAGAATACATGTGACATGCAGATGCGTCGAGAGAAGTGCAAACAAGTATAAATGGCTTCCAGGGTCCCTGTTTCCATGGACAAAACAGAGGTGGGATGGGACAGTCTTCTAGTCATCGGGAAAGGTAAGACAGGGTCCGATTTATCCAGCACAAGTCAAAGTGGCATGGGGATATGCTCTTCTTGGCACCAAGTCCTGAGGGAATAATGTCCCCTGTGGGCTGCAGAGGTGGCCATGCTCCCCTGTGGAGCCGGGTCACAGGGCCTTGGGAACTGCCACGCTGCTCACCTTCCCGGGTCTATTGTTCCCAAGGGCAGATGAGGCTAGGGGCAGAGCAGTGAGGCACTCCCTCAGCTCTAAGTCAGGTGGAGGTGGGTTGGGGCCTCCACTCTGCCATCCACTAGCCTGCCCCGGCACTTCCTGAGTCTTCATTTTGGCATCTCTAACGGAGGCGGGTGTGCCAGCCTCCGAGGGCTGTAGTCAGGACCAAGCGCTGTGATACATGTGGAGGTCTTGGCGGAATCATTGCAGAGACCTGATCAATTTTATTTATTGTTGCTTTTCATCTTAACACGTAAACAAGGCTTGTGCTCTTCTCACATATGTAGGGCCAACAAGTAAGCCTGGCCAAACGCTGGCCCAGTGCTTGCCGAGTTTAAGCCTGGACCAGGTGTCTGGGGCACAGGTGCTAAGCAGACCCATCCTGGACAGCCCCCAAGACCTACTGTGTCTCTCATGAATGTTCTCTCCAGAACCTGCCAGAGCATCTCATCCGCGTGACTCTCAAAGGGGTCCAGGTTGTACCTGCAACGAGGAAAGGGGAGGGAGCTGGATTTCTGAGGAGGAGAGGTGGGGGAGCAGGTTTTCTGCAGTGTGGAGGGGGAGCAGGAGGTGGTTATAACCCAGTGGCTCCCCAGGCAGTGCTTACTTAGCCCAGGCCCAAGGCCCATCAAATACCAACCTCAGGTCAAGAGACCAAGAACCCACAGCTCTGTTATGGAGCAGAGCCCACAAGGCAGGTATGTGAAAGCAGCCCAGACACAGCACCGAGCTCGGGGCCCAGGAAGACTCACTGGTCCTCGGCGGCCATGGGCAGTCGAGTGAATGCCACCTTCTGCAAATTCTTGGTGGAGAGAAAGGGAGAGGGAGCAACTTGACGGGCCATTGGGTTCACTCTGCCTTCAGAAGCACGAGCTACGTCTGCAGCCCTGGGGCTCCCAGAAGGCGAGCGGCTCACTTATGGGGCATGAGTCTAGACACAAAATGTATTTTTCATACAACGCTAAATACGGGCCCTACTTCTCGGTGGGAGAGATGTCCCTCTCAGGAGAGGGTCAGCACTCCCGGGACCAAGTGAGAGACCGGCTTTCTCCTGGAGGCTGCACGTCTGATCTTAAGCCCTGTAGGAGATGCAACCCCACTGTTCTTGTATGCGAGCTTCTGTTCTCACGCACTTTCCGATGGACAGCTGCATATGTCGGATCCTCACTCATTTTGTCACACAGACGGGTATTTTTGAGTGGCTGTTGCTAAACTTGATAGGATGCTCAGACACAGGCATAAACCGGGGCCAACTGGGATGTCTGCTCATCCTACGTATAAGCATCTTGCTTACTAGCCATGGTGTTTATACACACAAGCAATGTTCAGGACCCCAGGTCTCAGCTCCTCCCACGGCCTCCCTGGGGAACCGGTGCCAGCCCCTGGGCACACAGCTTCCCTCAGGTAGAGCAGCCCCAGGTCAGCCACGCCATGGGCACCTCCCAGAGCTCCTGGTTGGTCTGATCTCGCTACCCAAAAATAGGAATGCACAACTGTCAAAAACAGCTACCTTACTGTACCTACAAACAGGACAGGGTCCTGGGGGATCACAGTCAGCTTGGTTCTGAGATCCTCCAGCCCAATCGTGCAGATGTCCACCTCATCAATGAGGATGGTGCCACCGGCTGGCTCCACCAGGCGGAACAAGGCCATTCCCAGCGACGACTTGCCTGGGTGGTAAAAGCAAAAGCAGGTCAGACATCAGCTTATGCTCCGATCACATCTGAGTATCTAGTCCAGGGAATGTTTAATGCAGTGGAAACGCTCCGCGAGGATGGCCGTGCAGACAGAAATTCCCCACTCTGGTTAACCCGCCCCTCCCTGCGGTGGCTATTCGCACGCCGCTTATCCTCTGAGTCTCGTTTCACCAGAACGGTTCTCATTTAATTAACTCAAAAACTGACGTGTGTTTGCTTCCAACTCTGCACACCCATTCAACCTGAAATCCTAATTTACAGGCCACTCTGCCCTTAACTAGTGGACCCAGTGGGAATGCAAAGAAAACAACCTGGAAGAAACACCCTCAGGGCCCGTTCTCACCAGACCCCGTTCTTCCGACGATCCCAACCGTCTGCCCACTCCCGATGTGCAAGTTCAGCCCGTCGAGAACGAGGGGGGTGCTGTCCCGGTATCTCATCTGATAGTCTCTGAAAGTGATCTCGCCGTGGCTGGGCCAGTCAGGAGGACAGGGCCCCACTCCCAGGGGCTGCGTACTTTCAGGAACACAGGCCTGAAAAGCACAATAACCAGTGGCAGGTTAATACTCACTCACTTCTCCATTGGTTTAATTCATTCACTCGCACCGTTCGAGGCGCGAGCGTCCATGGCCGACTAGACCGGTGAGGACTGGCACCCATGCAACTCACCTTCCCGCGGGAGAGCCGGATAAAGAGGAAGAAAAGGCGTCGGCAATGAAGACAGTACGTCAGAGGACGGTAACAGAATGTGCAATGCGTGGTCAGAGGGCCTGGGAGCAATCAAAGTAACTAGAGGAAGGCACCTGAGACCTGAACGCTGAGACGGTCCCACCACAAGGACATTCGCGTCCAGCGCCTTCCCGGCAGAGTGGGTCGCTAGTGCAGAGGCCCTGAAGGCAGAGCACACTCGGCACTGGGAGGAATGGAAAGGAAGGTCTCGTGGGCAGCTGAAGCTTAGGGAGTAGAGACGGATGACTACGAGGGACCGCTCATAGGGACCCTGTGGGCCTGGGCACGCGTCAGCAGTGTGACCTCATGACCTGGAAGCTGTGTAGCACATGGGGGCCCAGCCGTGAGATTTGCAGAATTCATCCAGACAGTTTCTACATCTGCAGGAGTCATCGTGGTATTGGAGCAGGATGACAAGAAGGCAGGGTCGTGGAGAGGACATTTAAGTTTCCAAAGAGCCCATGAAATGCAAAGTGTAATTAAGGATAGAGCAGCCGGCTGCATTACAAGACCAACCCTTCCTCTGAAGTTAAGAAGTCCCTGTTAGCGACAAGAAATAGGGCTCCCATGAGCCCCATCAGGGTTGCGGACAGCCTGAATTTCTGGTCGATGAGGAACAACAGTTAGCCAAGAATGATTGTGTTTCTAGACAGCGAGTGTTTAACCCATGGAAGATTTAGAATTAGTAGTAAACACAACAACTCCAAATCTATGGGACACAGCGAAAGCAGTCCTGAGAGGGAAGTTCATAGCACTACAGGCCTACCTCCAAACCAAGAAAAACTTCTAATAAATTATCTAACCCTACAACTTAGGATTAATAGTAAAAGTATTTCAGAGAGGCAAAATTGTAACGGTAATATTTTTAGTTTAAGGCAGGGGTGGGGAACGTCCGACCTGGCCAGGCCCTCGAAATCATTTGGTCTGGCCCTGCCAAGGCAACCTCAGGCAGGACTCAAAAGTCAATCAATCTAGGAGCTTTTCTCATAACTAATTTTTAAGTTGGTAATTCTGTATGGCTCAAGAATGATTTTAGAAATATACAAATGGCCCTTGCCAGAAAAAGCGTTCTCCACCCTTGGTTTAAGGAATCTGCATATTTCGTGTTTTAAGGTTTCATAATATTAATAACATTTGTCTTGTGATTCTAACTTAAGATCATAATTGAATAATTTACGTAAATATGATTTTAGGTTAAAAGTGTACTGTTTAGCCTGGCCAGGTGTGGCTCAGCAGTTGAGCATCAACCTAGGATCCAGGAGATAACAGTTTGATTTCCAGCCAGGGCACATGCCCGGGTTGCAGGTTCGATCCTCAGTGGGGGGTGCAGGAGACAGCCAATCAATGACTCTCTCATCATTGATGTTTCTATCTCTCTCTCCCTTCCTCTCTTTGAAATCAATAAAGATATATATTTTTTTAAAAAGTGTACTGTTTATATAGAGCATTGGAATTATTAGGCAAACTCAAAGACGTAAGTGGGTTACATAAATCTACAGTTATTGGCTGTATGTAACCTCAGGAGGTTAAATCAGATAATCGGCATACTTAAAAAGGAAATGTAATCAATTAAATTTTAAAATGCAGTTTTAAATGTTTTAAAGTGTTTAATTAAGTTTGTAAAGGGGCCAAATGCTATTCAAAGCCTTGGAAAGTGATTGCTTGAATCACTAGACTTTTCAAAGAACAGCAGGATTGTAAGTTAAACATACACATTTTAAAGAAGAGTTAGACTAAGGTGAGCCACCGAGTTCTCTTTTCTGTGTACAGAAACAGCCTTGGGAAATTGTTTTTTGAAAGAACCTCTCTCTCAACATCAAGGGCTTCGGACTGTATTATAAATACGGGTTTTAAGAAGAGAGGTTGTGGTCTGAGTTCAGTTTTTAAAAATACCCCTTTCACAGGTAAAAAGAGTCAATGCTCGCAGGAATTCTGCCAGAGTTAACTCGTTGGCACTAATTTCTTACCGAGATGTACTCCCTGAGCAGCTCCACGGAGGTGAACTTGGCCTGGGTCTCTGTTCCCGTCCGCACACACACCTGGAGCAGCCCGCTGAGCTGGGGCACAGGAGCAAGCAGCAGTTAGGGCCCTCTGTTGGCTCCAGGGCCTTCAGTAAAGTCGCCAGCCCCCAACCCCCCACCCCCTCAAGTCTCCCGTCTCACTCAGCACCACACAAACGACAGGCCTGCATTCCCAGCCGAGTGCCTGGAAGTGAGGCTCCTCCTGTTGGGTGCTTTTGCCTTTCAACATCTCCTTTGCGTTTAGCAACAAGTGGTCATTGCATTTTCCCTGGCACTCCAGGGGGTCTCAGTCAGCCCCCCACAGCTTCACCTGGTCATGGCCTCCTGGTGTGAGCTCTGTGAGCAAGGTTCTCCAACCTGCAGACTGCTGGGCATGGGTCCCTTGCTGCCCCTGGGGGGGTCCTGACCTCTCCACCCTCCCTGCTTTACCCCACCCACAGCCAAGAGGCGTCACAGATGATCAGAAGTAGAAGAAAGCCACTCAGCCCATCTGCTTGCTTCCGACATGAGAAAAGCCTAGGCCCAGACTGGGGTGTGTGGCTTGATACGGCCAGGATCCCCCAGAAGCTGACCCTGAGAGCTGAGTGTGAGCAGTTGTATGAGGACAGGGTGAACAGTGGTCCCCAAAAGCTGTGCCCACATCAGCACCCCTGGGACCTGTGAATGTGACCTCACTCGGAAAAGGATCTTTGTGGGTATAATTAAGGATCCTGAGATCTTCCTGGATGCCCGGGGGGGGATCCTAAATCCAATGACAAGGGTCCTTATAAGAGACAGGGGAGGAGACATGGGGAAGAGGAGACGGAAGTGTGAAGGTGGAGGCAGAGGTTGGAGCGATGCAGCGACACGCCGAGGATCACCCAGGATGCCACAGCCACCAGAAGCCGGGACAGAAAGGAACCCACCCTTCCCTGGGCCTTCAGAGGGAGGGAAGACTCCTTCCTCTTGGACTCCTGGCCTCCAGAACTGTGAGAGGGTAAATGTCTCGGTTTTGACGTACTAGCTTATGATGATTCTACAGCAGCCCCAGGAAGCTTGTCCAGCAGGTGGACCCAAAAAGTATCAGCAGGGGCTGGGGACAGTGAGGCACAGGAGAGAGGGTGAGCCAAGAGGTTCATTTGTGGGCAGCTGAAGCTCCATCCCACTGAGGGTGCTGGGATGGAGCTCACCCAAGTTGCCCTGAGGAAGCTGGTCTGCTCCTCCCCTAAGTCCCTCCCGTCACCATGGGGCCCTCCTAGCTGGGAGGACCCCAGCCTGAGGCCCGGGGCCTGAGGCCTGCCCCGGGCTGCACTGAGCACCCTCCTGCAGCCATGGGTCCCCTGCCTGCCCTGGGGTGCTGGGGCTTCAGCAGCACCACCTCAGTCACAAAGCGGCTGGTGGGCTCGAGGCAGAGCTCCACTGAGAGCGGTGGCTGGGCCAGGCACATGGGAGCTGGTGTCCCACGGCAAGCCTGATAGTCGGGGTCCCTGCACTCATGGGCTCCCGCCCCCTGGGCTGGCAGGATGAGACGCAGGCGGTGTCGGGGAGCGATAAGAATGCCAGTGGGACAGGATGGTAAGGCGAGCGCCGCTGGGCCGCAGCTCCCTGGGGCGGGCTGCTGAGGAAGGCGGTGTGCGCAGAGGGCTTCGTGGTAAGAAGCCCCCCGGGCCGTCTGGGGCAAAAAAGCTCTGGGTAGCCTCAGCATGCAGCCTTAGCAGGAAGGTGCAGCGTGGCCGAGCAGGAGAGTGAGGGGGGCAGACAGCTCCCCTCAGCTGGCCTCCCTGCTGCTCCCTGCCTGGCACACACCGCTGGCTGCCCATGGCCTTTAGAGCAGAGGCTCTCCCCTGGGGTGAGTATGCCCCCGGGGGATATTTGGCAATGTCTACAGACATTTTTGGTTGTCCTGAGCTTGGAGGAGGGGGGTTTTGCTGGTATCTCTGGTTAGAAGTCAGGGAGGCTGCTAACATCCTACAACACATAGGACAGCCCCTCCCACAAGATTTTCTGGCCCGAAGGTCCATAGCGCTGCAGCTGAGAAACACTTTCTTAGAATATAGGGCCACCCTGCCCACGGCTGACACACTGCTGCAGTTATCCTTGCCAGCCTCAGGACGCACTGTCCACCACTCTGCTCTGGCCCCAGGGACTGCTGAGCTCCTCAGACGCATCAGGGTCCTGCCAACCCCGGCGGCTTTCCCTGGCCCTCTCCTTCCATCTTCCCCGGCGGTTCTTTATCATGTAGGTCTCAGCTTGGAAGTCACCCCTGGGCAGAGGTCTCCTCTATCAATCGGATCCAACATCCCCTCCCTCCTGACAGCCACAGGGCTCGCACTCTGCTATCTTCATGACACAGAGGACTTCTGATTCGTTTGCACTGGGCACCGCCTTAGCCGCCCGCACGGCACCCTTCGTATCTGAGGAGAAGACGAGCCCCGGGAGCGGACCGCCCAGCTCGCTCTCTCCCGCGGCGGCGGCCCGCACGGTTCCTGGCTCAGGGTGGGTATCTGGGGAATGAACGATGAACCCTGACCTTGAGAGGGGCCTACACACACTGTGTGAAGGTCAAGGGCATCAGCTCCCCAGTCTCGGGCAGCCGTCCCCGGGCTCAGCACCGCCCGAGTTTTCCCTGCTCCCTGAGGTTGGCCCATGTTGCTTTCCGTTCTCTGCCTGCTCCTCGGGGCTTCACACCAGGTTCCCACCCATCTGGGAGCCACCTCTGTTCTCCGGGGACAACAGGGACACTCTGTCATTCGGATTCTGTGTTTTCCAAAGGGGGCCAGTGCTCCATAAACATCCCCCAGATCTCAGTCAGTGTGCAGACTTCCCCGCCTTACGGGAATGTTGCCAAACAGTCTCCTGGGGAGCCGATGGTCCCCCCAAAAGTGTAACCTCAGCTGAGGAGCTGTCTCACTTGGAGCGAATAAGAGCATCTCTTCAGCATCATCTGCTCCACGTTTCACGAGGCAGCCACAGACGAAAACGCGCGCCAACCGGGAAACCGCGTCTTTCCCACTTAAGGTCGAGTCCTGAGAGCATGTTTTCCTCCCTCTGCCCCAAAATACCATTAAAATGATATCAGATTTTCAAAAAAGAAGAGGCCCTTGACAGCAAGGCGGTGGGGAAGGGAGGTCATTGCACGGGAGCTGCAGGTTTCCGGAAGGTGGGAGGAGGATTAGAGCGTTTGGCTAGAATGGGGCAGAATGTCCTGCCCGGGCTCAGGGGCCTTCGGTCCAGCAGAACTCAAGGCCCCAGCTGTGAGGAGGGGCCCCCGACAAGGCTGGCGAGCAGCCTGTCTGCAGACACCACTCCCCTGGGACCCACTGACCCCTCGCCCTGCTGTTTCTTCCAACCAAGGACAAGTAGTTGATACTTTATCCCTAGGCCAGCACAGGCGCACACACACACACACACACACACACACTTCTCTAAAGAAACTGAGCAGCTTACCTGGGAATAAATGGGGATCCACAATAGCACCCTATATAAAACCCCGTTAAATCTACCTTCCTGGCTGCTTTCTTGCAGTGAAGCCACCTGTGGAAAAGCCTTCCCCCCCCACCCACAGTTATGAACCTTCAAATCCGGGGACCCCTCCAGGCATATGCAGAGGCAGAGGAGACCCGAGTACCCCACCCGGTCCCTCCTCCTTAAGGACAAGAATCATACACACCGAGCCAATGGCACAAAGAGCGGGAACCAGATAAACAGAATTGACCCTGGAAAAAACAGGTATTAGTCAAAGAAGAGAGGACAAGTTAAGGAAGGGCAGGAACCTCTAATTAACACACTCAGAGATTTTAAAAATATATAGGCATCCATTTAAAAATGATTGTTTTAAAAACTGAGAGTTTGTGGAAATTAAGTATATGAATATATGCTTGCCAGACTTAAGAGTCAAAGGAATGGCTGAATGACAAAGCTAAGGAAAATTCCCAGAATCAAGATGAAAAGACAAGAACAGAGGATTTTGAGATAAAAGAAACAAAGAACTGTTGATGCAAGAAGTTCAATATTCATCCGGTATGAGTCACAGGAAGAGAAAACAGGAGTAGGAGACATTTTTCCAACTTGAAGAGAGATTTGACTTTAGTGTAAAATAACCCACAGCCTTGAGCAGAATAAATGAAAGACCCACACTTGGGCACATGGTCCTGGAATTCAGAGCACCAAGGATACGGGCTGCATCGGAAAAGCTTCCAAAGAGAAAAACTGGAGGCTGATATCAAGGAAGGAGGGTCAGGCTCAGGTGGGATCAGACCCAGATGGCGAGGGTTCAAATCCTGGCTCTCACACACGACAGGTGTGTGATCCTGCACAAGTTTTTCTGGCCCACAGTCTCCTCACCTGTCAAATGGGGATTACGGCCGTGCCTCTCTCGTATGGTTTTCGTGGGGATAGATGAATTAATGTATGTAGGATGTAGAACAGTGTCTGACACATAGTCAGTGGCACATGATTCACTATTATTATTTTTCGAAAGAAAAAAGCCAAAGTGACCCAGAAGAAGTCAGTGATTATTTGCCATGGACTTCGTGGCTGCCTCTCCAGCATGCTTTTCCCTCTCCCCATTTGGGGCAGCTGTGTGGCTCGGGGGTGGGTGGGGTGTGACTCCGCCTCTTGGCCTAAACCAATGACCCCGATCACAACAAGCCACCAATTAGTTCTGGGGTGCCTAAATTAGCCCAGTCAGCGTAAACCCCAGGGCTCCTGTTCAGTGGGCAGGAAAGGAACTACTTGCCTCCTGCTTTCTTCCTTCCCTTCTACAGCCCTCAGAAGCTGCTGGTCACCACAGCCATGCAGAAAGTCATCGGAGGAGGTGGGCACTGCCAGGGGCCATGGCCCATCCGTGCCTGAAGCCCACACAGCCACCAAGCCTTCTAATGATGTGAACCCCCAAGCTCGCTCTATTGTTTAAGCCCATCGAGCTGGGTTTCCATTATGCCCATCCTCCCTCATGCGCTCTACCTGAGAGCCTCTAGGCCAAGCCCGCCCTTGCACCTGGTGGTACCTGGATGATGTAGGACAATGACAGGCCTTTGGATGAGGAGCTGATAGAGAAGAAACTCAGGGTCACCAACAAGGCCACGATGAAGGTGACGATGTTCATGAGGACATCCATCCTTAGAGCAAACCACCGCAGAGCGCAGTTAAAGTACAGGAGGTGGCTGGAGTTTTCATCATTGAGCATCATAAACCTGAAATTAAGAAACCGAACAAAACAGGAGGGCAGGTGTGCGCCCACAGATTAGAGTCAGGGCTGCCGGGGAAATAAGGCAGGGGGAAATCTTCATCAAGGGCAAATGCTCTTTTACAGAAACGAACATCTGTCCATGCTCTGAAATCTGCCGCCGTAGATATCTTTGACTCACAGGTATTCTGAGCCACCCCATGTGCAGCAGAGTCTGCGCTGGGTGGGCTCTTGCTGTCTTTCCCAGAACTGGCCACCGGGGCCCAGCTGAGAACAAAAGGGCTGGAGTGCCTCACACTCTGCCTCCAAGGGATCCCTGCCTTAGAGTCAGCCACCCCGAAGGCCTTGTGGAATTGACCGTTGGCCCCTTGATCTATAAAAGGCTTGGGGTGTACCGCGGAGGCGGTCGCCTTTAGGGATGGTCACTGTTTGTGATGCTACAGGAGGGGAGAGAGGGCGCTTGATGGGTTCCCCTCCCCAAATAAGGAAAAGAAGAGTCAAGGTGGCTGTTTATAAAGCTGGGCCTCTTCGAGAAGAGGGCGCTGACGTGTCGCCCCTGTGCTGGGTCCAGGGCGTGAGGGAGGGGAAGGAGCACAAGGCAGGGTGTCGGAGAGAGGACACCACCAGGGGCGGAGGCAGGCCCCACTCCTGCAGTGCCTTGTTCCCCAGCTGTGTACAAGGCAGATCTGCCGGTCCCTGCAGTTCCTAGAGTCTTGATGCAACATAGCTCAGCATGAGGCGAGGAGGCCCCTCATCAAGGACCTTAGGGCGAGGCTGCCAGGCAGAGCTTCCTGGAAGACCCAGGCAGATCCTGCCCATCGGCAAGGCCTCAGCAGAGCTGCTGGGGATCTGGTCCTGTGGGGGCCTCCACCCACCCGCAGCACATCTGCACAGCCAGCTGGATCAGCAGGAATGAGCAGTGGAGAGGAGAGAATGACCCAGACTAAGTGGCAGCCTGAGGGTGTGTCTTCCCTGCTTCCATTCCCCTGTACCAGCCTCAGAGAACCGGGCTCGGAGACTAAAGGGAGAGGGTGTTTAAAAGAACAGACCAGGTGCCTAGGCAGTTTTGCACAGTGGTTAGAGCGTCGGCCCACAGGCTGAAGGGTCCCGGGTTCCATTCCAGCCAAGGGCACGTACCTCGGTTGTAGATGATCCTCGGCCCTGGTCAGGGCACATGCGGGAGGCAATCAATCGATGTGTCTCTCTCACATCAATGTTTCTCTCTCTCTCTCCCTCCTTCCACTCTCTCTGAAAAGCAATGGAAAAATATCCTGAGGTGAGGATTTTAAAAAAAAAAACAGACCAGAAGCTTCCCACCCACCAGCACACCTGCCCCCCATGTCAAGACACAGGCGTGCAGCACAGCGTGACCACGCCAAGCCTCTGTGGAGAGAGGGAGAGCTGTGTCTTGAATACATTCAAAATTGAAATTTTTACTGGACTGAGCTAACCCGTAACCAAAAGAGCCATCAGATTCAATTGCCACTGAAGTTTCCCTGACCTACTTGGACCAACTGTTAGAAACTATTGGGGAAAAAATGAAAGCCTCTCAATGTTTAAGCCCCTAGAGAGCTAACTCCTCTGTTGGCCGAGCCATGAACACCCTTGGGCTCTGCTGCTCCGTCCAGTTCTAAGATCCTAGAAGGATTATGTTTGGAAGCCCCTCTGCAGCTCCCTCTTCCTCCCTGTTTCCTCTGTAGCTGATTTCCCAGAGCTTCGGTAAAATATTCTTGCAAACACCATGGTGTCTCCATCGTGTGGCTATGGAGCCTACAAATTCAATGGACAGCCTCAGGGACTAGAGGTCATTGGGGTCTTAGCTGTGAGGGTGTAGAAACAGAATCACTGGCTGGGATCAAATTGGAATTTGACCTCAAGCCTTTTGCTAATGCTTTAGCATTTTTTCTGGTGGCGAAAGCAGTATGTGTCAGAAGCCCGAGCCCTCTGGGAAGTCCACAGCAGGCAAGAATGTATTAAGAGAGGGCAGACTGTCAATCACACAGGGCTCAGCTCTCCTCCAGCATCCTTCTGGAGGCCATGGGGAGGCAAAGCTTGATCTGTTTTGTTTGTCATGAGTTGTGGAATAGGGCTATGTGGACAGACATTGGGAGGCTCAGTGTAGGACAGTTGACACATGACATTCAGGTCAGACTAGTAACAGGACTAGCTGATGGCTGAGCCAAAGACAAGTATGCCAGTCCCCATTGAGATCCTGAGTGCTGAAGGGCAGAAAGCCAGAATTACATGCAAACTTTGAAGTGTGTATTAGATTTTCAAGGAAGGAAAAGATTTTAAAACACTCCT